GCTGCATTGAGAACAGTAATTCAGATTTGATATTTTCTTCGTACCGAAGAATAATGTATGTACACAAACCTATAAGGTATCTGCCTATGATAAATGCTTGTTATATCAATATTCCAAAATTTCATGGTCTATTCCGGGGTCTTTGATTATGATTCAAATGCCTGCTGGTTCTAGTAAGGACATTGCGACACTTTTGTAAGCTTAATTGTATGAGGCGACTAAATTGGCGTCCCATGTAGAACCTTTTTTTTTTAATTGGAAGAAATAGAAACCATTGTCTTTTGGTACATTCCTGCCATTTAAGTACATGTACTTGTGTTATATGCTGATGGACGGGCTGCTTTGCAGTTGTGTAAATGATTGTAAAAATTCACAAATGATATTTTACGTCTTAAATCATCGGCGTTTCTAGTTTTCTTTTTAATGTCATGATGCATTTACGAAAAAACATTATTCCTCAGCACAAATCACTCGCAGATCAGTACATATTGAGTGACTCATCAAAACCCGGTTGAAAGCTCAGATATCTGTTCTAGCTATGTACACATTTGACTTGTTTATCACAAACTATTTGCAATAAGATTTCCATATATATTCTATAAATCTCTATTGAGCAATGCAAGTACTTCATCTTACTCTATAGTTCAATTAGAAATTAGGACACATTCATTTTGATATTCCTCACAAGTTCCATATTCGTTGGCTTTTCAAGCGTAACACCGTGAATTAATGAAAATAGTTTTCGTTAATTAGATTAAAACTATGTTTTACTTAAATTAAAAACATAAAACCTCAATAAGCTAAATAAAAAAAATTACCCTTGCATTCCTAGCCTTTTTACCGAAAACAAACCAGCTTTGAAATCATACCGACTTTGAAAATAAGCCTTTGGTTTCATGCAATAATAACATTTTGTCTCGACCCAAACAATTTGTGCATGTAGTTATCGCATAACAGATATTGCATCATAATTTTTCGAACATGTCCTGATGTCTATAATTAACCTACCGGTTTATCACATGGTGATTACGTTAAGTATTAAACGAGCCCCGTAACATGATCACGACGTGTATTAGAAATGTATGTGTGTTTTAAAAATTTAATTTCTACTCCAAGAAGATATTAACTACCAGGTAAAGTTCTATTTCATTATTAAGTTTTAAATACAGACCAACTTTATAAGGGAAATTACTTTTATTACTGTGATTGTGACATCCTGCAAAAATTTAATACCATCTCGAAGACTTTCAAAATACAGTACTTTTGAAAATAAGAAAAACATGGTTATTTTGAATTTGAATGCAGGCTCCGGAATTAGGCAAGGGATTCCCTACTAAAAGGAACATCACCGTTTCTTATTGTCTTATTATTCAAAATACTCAAAATAGCTGTGTTTGAAACATTTCTGTTCTCTATTAAAATTTGAGAATACCTTTTTGATTATTTAATTGTGCCTTCTTGTTTATTATGCAACATTTGAGTACACATGCAACGTTAAATAAAGAACGTTTGCATCGACATTATTTGATAGAGAGCCATTGCACAATGATATTATACAATATTTGTTATAGGACGTTGAAACCTATTACATTTCTGTACCTTCATTATAACAAGATGTTAACATAAGTTATAACTACAATATTACAGGACGTTAATATTGTTATAAACTATCATATGCAGGGAATTTATATCGGTACAAGATATAAAATCTTGATGTTTAATTCATTTGTCTACATTGTTTTAATGCAGGGCGTTGAAAACATATTTTTACAACTAAGATACGGGAGAATTGTATAGGCAATATCAGTTACAGGATGTTTACATAAAACATATCCATGAAATTAGATACAGGGTATAAACACAAAGGATTTTACAGTAGATATTTACACTATTAGATACATCATGTTTAATAAACCATATATACAAACATACGATTTGTGACCTTTTCATAAATTGTACCTAGTGTATTTGGTATTGAACATTTACATCGATATAATCGTACAATATTTAATAGCTGATGCTTAAATCAACTATAGCGTATAACTTTACCGCAATTTATATGTGCACTATTTGATACAGGATATGAAATAAATTAAACATATATTTGCAATATAAGAGTTCTGTCGTTTAATTAAATAAATATCTAAAATATTCCGTATAAAATATTTGTATCAATAATATTGTATACAAGTCGACCAATTATGTTATAACAAAATACGGAATTTAATCTTAAATACGGGATGTTCGCTTTGAAATTTAAATATATGATTAAAGTTACCTGGTATTAACTTCAATTAAATGGAGAAAAAAATATGAAAAACAAATCTTTCAAACAGTAATTATTAACTCAAAATAATTATAACTACAGACCAATTTTACATGTTATAAATAGTTAACAGTTTTATTCACGATATGAAATACACAAAGCTTAAATAAACAGTTTAGACAAAAAGAATTTTACATCAATTTTATCGTTCAATAGTTACTGTACCTCGAATATCAATTAACAAACCATTGTTATAACAGTACAATGTATCTAGTAACAGGAATGTTATCGTAATGAGATTTATAAAATGATATTTTCATATCAGATGAACAGCTAAGATAAAGCTACTAACCAACTATACTGTCATAAACCATTGTAACAAGAACTATTACGAAGTTTGAGTAGTAGGGGGGTGGGGGGGGGAGAGATCATAACATGACGTAAAATTCAAAACATGGAAATTACCGTATGGTTTCCGATTGACGTTTGTTGCTTGACGACACTGCTACAATGTAACCACTGAAAACTCTATTTTGTTCATGCAAATAAATGTCGGATCCTACATTTTTTTAAATATATCGCGAATCCCAGAAAATGGGGGAATATATGTTTTCTTGCTTTCTGCAGATTTGATATCCTCGTAGCATCTAAGGTCCAATAAAGTCGGGTGTCTAGGGAGACGCTGTCTAATTTTTTTTTTAAATCCTAGAAAAGAAAACAAAAAAGGTCCCAAGGGTTGCAGTGGGGACAACACATCAATTAAGGACACGGAGGTAAGCCCCATGCCAGGGGTCCTACATTAACAGTCTCCTACGATAAATTCACGAGCATATAGCAGGTTAAATTCCCCCCAGTACTTGCAGGATGTAAACAATCGTTACAAAATTTAATTTAATTAAATTTGTTTGATTAGCCTTCATGAGCATGAAAAAATTAACATAACCACAACAGGTATAATATGTATAAAAAAAAACCGGCAGTATCCAAAATGAAAAGAATACTTTAAAACGACTTCGTTTATTAAGCTGTTTGAAACTCATTATTGTTAAAAAGCTTATACCGATGTTGTTTCTTCTCTCTATTTTTTAACAATGTAAGTACATGTATAACCATATAATCTTTTACTTTGGTTCGTTCTAAACTTGATATTCCGTCTATGGAGGATAATATAAAGCAAAATGTAAGAACAAACAGGAAATAGTATAGCATTTAAAACTATAGTTTTAAACACACATTTAATGTAAACAAACGAAAGCATAAACCTTCGAATGATCAGATTCTAAACGGACTTATTTATTTACTGCAAATGATTACATTTATTATACATAATGTAGCATAAAACCATGGTTATATTATGAACACTGCTATAATTGGTGCATGATTAACCTCAAGTCGGTGCCACACAAGCATTAGATACTTAAATATATGCAACATAGTTTGTAATGTTGATATACATTTCTAACTAGAAAATGTCTGACATAAATGCTCCCGCTCATAGATGGGACGGTACGGGACGCGACGGGACGGGACGGGACGGGACGGACATGGGCACGCTATATGCCCACATCCCCCCATTTTATGGCGGAGGCATAACAATAATTACGTCAACCCATATAAAATCTATAAAACATTTTTTAGGCGAAAAAAGCAGGTGTTATAATAATGTGCTTCTAACTATTGCCACAACAATAAAAAAAAACAATTAGTACACACAACAATTAGCATACCACAAACCCAAAGCAGTCAACACATAAACATGATAAAATAAAAATATACTACCAGGTAATTCTCCAAACGGCTTGTGATACTTTAACACAAAATCAACACTATAAGATGTATTACACTGTTAATTCTTCCAAACATATTCTGCTTTTGTAAAACAGTTGTTTTCAATCATTTTTATAAAATGTATTGCATTTTTATATGAAAATATTGATATTTCAATGTTTTCATTATAGATTTTAATGTACATTAATACCGTATAATTGTGCGAAATTTCTCAAAACCAACAACACTACTTATTATTTTCTTTTTATACCCAGATAGATAAATACCTTGCACACCTTTACAATGATGATGATAATATATAATATCTTTTAAAAATGGATTGCCGGACATACAGAACCTAATCAAGAAAATGAGTTTGCTGTTATTCATTCTAACCTATTGTAATAATTTTTAGATATAATTATCACGAAAAGAAATCTATCCCGACAATATAGACTACCTGCCTGGCAAAAAAATATATTCTACAAAAAGGATATGGTAATTTTAATAAATAGAAAGAAAATGAATATCGTTTCAGTTCAAACAAGTTCCACCAAGATATTCATATACCTTGACCGTGTATATAATTGCAGGAATAAAGATTACATGAACAAATGGCTAAGTTAAGACTTAAATTCAAAATTAACCTGGAATCCATTTAAAAATATATCCATTTACATCCACCGTAGTTGTACATTTTTGTCAGTTCAGTCTGAATTCATCACAACTTCATATATATATAACCAAATTATCTTGACTATGTTTGTGTTATTTCATCTCAGCTGAAATTTATTTTCACTGGTCTGTCATTTGTATTAATATTCGGAAACTTTGAAATTAAGAAAAGAAGATTAGTAGGATCAATTAGCAGCACGGCAGTCGTTTTACATTAAACCTTTATTTAAACGAAGTTCTGAGGCATATACAGGAAGCAGGTATGAAGGACAATACTTGATGATAAACTCACCTGCCGGAACAATGACTTTCTTGGACTGTTCCTGATGAGCAACGTCATTTCCCGTGCTCTCTGATCTCGACCTGGGACACGTGAGATTGAACGGTTCATTGTTTATGTTTTTGCTGGGTGTGTCGTAGGGGGAGCATGTGCGCTGGTACTGAGAGGGGGAGGGAGGCTTGACAGGTTCCATTGGATACAGGTGCTGCTTCAGGGTCTGGGCGGAGTATTTGTTGTAAGTATTGTTATACGCTGTGGTGGAAACGGCTTGCATGGCCGTTGTGTCGAAAGGGTTCAGTTCGTCAATGTCAGAGACACGTGGAAGCATTGGGTCACCGACAGCACTGGTTCTGTTATCGGAAACAAAAGAGTATCCCGTGCCTATTCCTCCATTGTCTTTGGGAGTGGTAACTAGTGGCGGGCCCGGGGGCTCGAAAGCTGACCGGCTGGGGTCAAAAGTACCAATGGAGGAGTTTGTGTCGATGTATTGAGCGTTAACCAAAGGCTGACAGTACACTGTTTCTGGAGATGTAACAGAGTAGCCAGCCCACTGCTGTGTGGGACAGGACACCACGGGGGTACACAGGGGTACATGTACCCCACCTACCACCGAGTCGGTTACCAGGCCCGGTTCCAACTTTACATTGATAGATGACTGTTTTACAGATAGTTCTGGTAAATTCGGAATGGTGCCATTTGAATCCGAATATGTAGATGAGTTGCCGTTTTGTATATTTGATGCTGCGGTTTCTACTATATCTGATTCTCGGTCTTCGGATGCACACGTGCTTGCGACGTCACAGTTTTCTATGTCGACCGGTGTCAGTGAATTTGGGGCCGGCGACGGCGGACTTCCACACACCGTTGGATCCTGAGGAAACAATAAATTGTGTATTAAATATAACCTATATTTTACTGATCACTAACAGATCTTGTATTTTGATTTTTTAAAAACTTCAATCTAATGCAAGGTACATACATGCCATTGGACTAGTCTAGAGTACCTCATTTTCGAAGGTTTTTGTGCTTTTGCAATAGCTTAAATCATATAAGGCGGTGTTTACAGAAGTAAAATGCAATCTAAATGGAGAGCCATGACTAGGTAGCATTGCACCAAGTAGTCTACAATTGAAAACAATATTACAACATTACAAAATGTCAAACAAGATGTAACTACATACAATTCGAACACCTGTATCGATATTTATGTCTATTCATGATAAAAAATAATTGAGTATAAACCGCTACATTATAATTGTTTCTAAAAAATGTGTAGGGATTACGTGTAAAAAAACCCATCAACTAACTACAATGCTAAAGGTTCAATTGCCGCGCTTAAGTATTTATAGATTGAACAAACAAAAAATCAAAATAGTGAAAATATTGCTCATAACGATACATAAATAAAAACGTACATTGATTGCGTATTTCCGCCATAGTTCTCGGGCAGATCTTAACATCAATTAAATAAGTCATAACCGTATATCAAAATCTTAAAATTGACCGGAATATGATTCTTTCTCTGTGCTTAGACTTCTTTCATATACAGAGCCCAGAACGGAGTTTTTCAACTCCATACTTCCTATACTTCTCTTCCTATACACTAGATCGTTCCTGTGTGGGGAAGTCGCTCAAGTAGTCAACAATCTAACATGACACGACCGGGCGACAGTGTCAACTACGATAGCTTCAATTACACACAGCAATGCAGGTGAAACACATATCCTGGTGGCATCGCATAAAATAGCATACTCACCATTCCAAAGAAATCTGAGAAAGTGCCGATGGAGGAATGAGGAAAACAAGGAAATTGTCCGTCTGTTGTATGTGAACTACTTGAGTGGTGTTTGACGTAGCATGTTTAGAGGTTATTTTATGAAAAACTAGTAATACTGATACACCAAAGCGGTCGACGTAGCCAGGGCTTCGGCGAAAGGAAACGACGACTTATCAGCACAATGCATACGAAGGGAAACTCAAGTGGCTGACAGGAAACCATCTACGTATCTCGTGTAGATAGTCCTGTGCTAGGCCTGCCCACTTGTTTATGTGTAAATGCATGGAGATTAGGGGGCTTTGTTGTGTGTGGCAAACGATCACCCTAGTTATACAGACAATATATATGATGGAGCTTGAAAATGTGTCTAAATATTGAAACACTTCAGCATATACGTATATATATAAACCGCTCAGCCTCCGCCATTGGTCCTTGGTCCCATTGTCGACGCGAGGTCCGTACTAGGCTGTGCTTATGTGCATTAAATCCGAGCCTTATCTCATGGGCACAAACGATTGCAGTATTTACTAGCTGAAGTACCCTCTCGAGATTTCAAATTTTCAGTTGTGACGATGTAGGGATCATCTCCTTTCCTCCAATCAACCTAACCGCACTATACTATCCTAAACTCCATCGTCATCCCTTAGTCACTGTGAGTTACGAGAATCAAGGATTGTTTATTTGCGACATAGTTTTGCTACCACAAGGAAATCCTGTTCATTATAGCTCATTAACCTTATCATTGTAAATCGATTATTATGATATAATATTTCCATTGTAGTAACATGCTGTTCACATAAATTATTCATATAAATTGTATAACCACAGTAAACCAATACAGACAAGGTACAACATATGATCGACAAAGTCCTGCACAAACAAACAAAAACATATGTAAAAGACAAACTGTTAAAAAATAATTAAGACTTAATTCTAAGTTCGTGTTAGCTGTGGATTAATGCAGTCTTACATAAGTTGTTCATTTACTGCAAATTGTTCGTCATATGCCGTGCATTGTGGCCGGTCTTTGCATTTCATTGAATTTGAAAATATGATGTATGCATGACTTTTCAAGAAGCGGGCGTGGATCACCCCATAAGATCATTTAAATCTGTAAAATGAGTTTCAAAATCATCAGATGGTAGAGACAAGGCTACTTCTGCCGTAACATCTGCATTTTCATATATCTGTTATTTCCAAACGTCATGGAATATTGCATTGCAAAATAAAACAGATTTGGGGGGATATTATGTAATATTTTACGAATGAAAACAAAAACGAATTTCTTTTGCCAAGCTGTAAAACAGAGAGGGATCTAGAGAGGGATTACTTATTATTAACAGCTATGGTCATTTCAAAACTTACCTCCAAGAGGGTGTGCTGAACGCGATATATTGGTTATTTGCCACCTTGCGATATTAGATCTGACGCTGATTTTAGATAATCGTTGAAACGCCATGCCGAAGACAACCAGCCGGGTACTCCGCCGGATCTCATTATTCTCAACGGTTGTCGATATGATGAGAAGCACGTACTTTTTGGTATCATTAGAAATAGACATTTTACGGCATTCGGTAGGTATTTAGTACCCATTTTTCCAAGATACAACACTGGGATTTTATCATTTTGAAATGGTTTCAAAATAAATAAAGACTTGACTTTTTGGCATTTGCTTCCATTTATTAAGATGAAACCTGATACTTCTTTGAATCAATGGAACGACATGTTAAGCTGCCTGTAGAAAGTATTTCGAGTACAGATTGGGCTATAACACCACGGATATAAGTTTGACATGCCAAACTTACGTTTTTATTCTAAGATAACATTAAAACATCAACAGCGACTGCAACCATTATTTGAAACGTAAACCGTACCTCTTCAAATCAATGAAAATTGAAATAAAAAGTCTGGCTTTCAAAAAGTGTAATGCCCTAATTTAGAGCCTTAGTACCTCAGTTATATCATTTTTAAAAAGCTGAAAAAATGAATAAGAAAGCAACGTCTGGTCAAGAATCTACATACTTGAAGGGAAATGAATAAAATCGATGATTCACACGTTTTGGACGACGTCAAACTGCCCTTTTTTACTATGAATAAAGATTAAAACATCAACAGCGACTGCAACTCATTGTTTTGAAAGGAAGCTCATTTGATCGTTTCAATTTTCAAAATTTTAGCCTCCAAAGGAAGTTAAGTTTTGCATAACTCTGATATACAGTACTTCGGTAACATTTTAAAATTCATTTCCAAAAATTACATGAAAGAAGCAAAAATTATCTAGGGCGTCCCTAGCCTCTTCTGAAGAGGAAATGTCACACATCTAGGTATCATTAGAAAGGGAATTATAGCCGTTTTCAGAGAATGTTCCATCATTTCGGAAAGTTAAAGTCTTTGATAACATAATGATGCCAGAAGCATCTCAGATATTTTCATAATCTCACGGGGACCCCATTCTTCTTTGAATATTAAGAGAGGGACTTGCAGCGTTGTTGAAAACCTAATTGGTGCACATAATTCCGAATTATAACTCTGTCAATATACATGGTTTAGAACGAATGTCAAACTCACGGGTTTGCAAACGAAAAATATCAACAGCGATTGCAATATTCAACTGGAAAAAAATCGTACTTCTTGGTATCATTGGAAAAAAAATTGTTGTCACTTTCAGTCTGTTAAGTGCGAATAATTCCGTGCTTTTGTATGTAACATCATTTGGAAATATCAGAATTGATTGCAGAAGAACGAAGCAACATGAACCTTTGCGTCTCTGCTAGAAAATACTTCTAGAAAAGCAATTGAATTCACTTTCAGAAGCTGTTTGGTACGTATAATTCAGAATTATAACATTGCAAATATAAATTTTAGGACGTCAAACTTGGGTGTTTTTAATTATAAAGACCAGAATATAACAGCGACTGCAACCTTCATTAGAATAGTTTACCCATATATCTTGGTAGCACTGGAAAATATTATATTCAGTTTCAGAAGATAAATAAAAATCAAGACATCTGTGTGAAATGATTACCTCTACTTCTGGGATTCATTTGAGTTTGCCTTTTGATGCCTTTCAAATCATGCGCTGGGCATCATTTCGGCAACATGAACTTCAATGACATCAATTTAAAATATTAACATTGTTAGTAAAGAACCAACAAGCATCTTTCTAAAAACAGTGTTGTCCGCATAAAAATTGTCATTCCGCGCTATAACACAATATATATGTACGGTTTATTTTATTCTCAACAATATCCACTTAATGTTAAACCTTTCACGGATATCGTTGTAATTATATAAGTTACTGCAGGATTCAGACCAAAATTTCATGAAAAACACTTAGTTGATAAAAATCATAATTAAAACTTTAGAATGGGACCATGCCTCCCCTCGCCAGGGTTTGCTGCTTGGCGACATGTTTAAAACGTTTACATAGTTAATTATCAAAATAACATCTCTAAAACATTTTGGTGATTTTACAACCATCACATAAAATGATCAATAGATGACGATTATTATAAATCATTCTCATGAAGCAAAACGCTCTCGTTGGCTGGTTAATCTCACTACAATTAGTACCAAGCCTAAGATGGTCAGCACCTCTCAAGATTAATGTTGGATTTATACCAAGTTTTTATTGAAATCATTCTTTGCTCACTATGTCCACAATGAGGGACACTTAAATTGCATCAGTGAGGGTTCATTCTTCTGAAGTGATATCTACTTAACATGCGCGTTTCGTTTATTATCTTATTCAAGTGACCGTTACGTCAATGAGCCGCTTGTTAAGAAAAACATTCAGAATTGCACTAAAAATGAACACATCTTGGGCATCATTTACATGACAAACTAAAAAGTGGAAATATCGAAAGCAACCACTTGCAGTGTGATAAGACTCGTGTAACACTTTTTACATAAGCTATGTAAATTCGAATATTTATATCAATTAGTTGGGGCGCATTTCCCATGACAACTGGACATTCCAAAAGTCACCACTTTAAAATACGACCGTGGTTGTAACGGTGTTTGAGATATGCTCCGGAAACGAGTGTGAAAAGAACTCGTTTGTACTGTAATCCCCGGGCCGCCAACGTTGTTGATAAGCGCATAATACAATGGGTTATCCAGAGACCCATAAACGACATAATTATAATGACAGTAAAAAGCAAAACAAAAGGGTCGATCAATGTTTATTGCTAATATTTCAGAATAACCATATGTAAGTGATAAACTCATAACAATTTATCTTTGCATGGAACATATTAAAAACACTTTGCATTCTGTCGTTGGAACAACATTTAGAACACGGATTGATACATACAAAAACATTACTTTTGCTGACATACTTTAGTCACGACTTGAAAAAAGTAATAGCAAAGACAAACTTGAAGGCCTTAATACGACTAGAGCAAAGTCTATTTCCAGTCATTTCTGTTTAGCTCAGCGTAAAATGTCTGCTACTATGGCAATGCAAAAGCGATTAGGGCTCGGAAAAAAGTTAACACCTAAAAAAGAGATCACATTTAGTTGTGATGTACAGTAGCAAACATGAAAATAATACTTACTACTAAGGCATGTTACTACATTGTTGTGGTCAAGCATTTCCACTTCATATGACAAACTACTGAATAGCATGAGATCATCGAGACTAATGATCTTTTACGTCGTTTTGAATTCTTGCCGTCAATTAAGTTGAAACTGAGTCATTTGCCTGTATTTCTTTTTTAGTGACTAACATTCGAGACAGTTACTACACTTACAGAGGATGCATAAATGATCATCTTTGTTAGCAACGCCAACCTGAATTAACGTATAACGGTATGTACATGTATTCATAAACCATAATTATTGAATAATACGGTTTAAGAATTAAGATGAAATAACAGTTCAATCTGCACTTGTATGGGTAGAATAAATCACTAACGTTTAAACGAGCAAGATCTCTCACCAAAGTTTCAAATGTACATGATATTAAGCTGAAGAAATAATTGTGAATTTTAGAAGCGGTAAAAGACTAAAATATACAAGCAAGAGGACAGCCAGATGCATATTACGACAGTCTCTGACTCTATTATTATACAAAGTAAGGATTTTGATGATGGTAAACAAGAGGTATATCGAAAGGAAGGTCATCTGGACAAGATAAAAAGGCTTCAAGCACATGTTCACCCAGGGCAATTATGTGTACCATAGAAAAGATTATCAGATCGCTACGTCTGAAATACATACACAACTTCAAATATGATCGTAAACCCTTCCTTGTTTCAAAGAAATTGGATGGAAATAAAAGATAACGTGCCTTGAAACGAAAAAACTGAAAAGAAATGGAGGAAATAATTCCATTGTTGCAAAGAACGCTTATATATATTTTGGTCGCTTTCATAGCCCTAGTAAAAGGCACAGAAGAAAATTCTCAATTCTACAGCAAGTTCTCACATCGATTACTTTTTACGATCATGCATTCGTTTTCATCATTCATTTTTCAATCCCTGAACTGAAGAGATGCAGAAGTTGAGGGACCAGTTGTCTGGGCAAGTTTGTATACATTGGGTAGTATCTCTGCTAATACTGGTCGGATGTATACAAAGATATCATTGTGGTAGACCCACACGTTTCAAGGGGGACTAATGGAGAGTGAGGCAGTCGTGTTCCGGACAAGAAAATAGCCAAAGTGAAAATGCCGTATAATGCCAAATCCGTACCGACAGGCATATTTTTGTTAATTATTTTTTATCAAATGTGATGATATCACACTTTTCCAGTTTCCGGTGTACAAAAATCTTTGTATCTAAATATAATACTGCTACCATAAATTTGGCAATGCTTATCTTTTAATATATTTATCTATTTTCGCAAAAGATGTTAAGGATAAAACACGAAGATACCTGCAAAATATTAATGAATGAATTTCCTGGTCTGTACTAAATTACCTATAATTTATCTAATAAACTGCATGGGGGAGTCACTTCCAGTCATATCTGATATGACCATCACACACTCTAGAAGAATTGTAAGTAAATGCAATATTTCACATTACCGCATTTTAATACGACCAGATTATTTGAATGATGAATACCTGTATGCAAGAGAACTAACGCTAATAAATGTGTACAACCACGATAAATGTCCTTAGTATTTAATTGGGAACAAAATGGCAAAAGAATAAGCTCTAAACTAAACGCATCTGATACAAAGCAAGAGTGAAGCGAACTGGATGAGTAAAGCTCAATAGTTGTGATATCCAATCAATCATAAGTGATATGTTACAAAGCCACAAAGTGTACAAACATACAAATTTAAGTGATAAAAGTATAAAAAATAAATAGCATCTTAATTTTTCAACATAACAATTCAACATGCCAAAAGCAATTTGCATATGTTACAAATATTTGGCCAAAACACACAAGAAGGTCCCATTTACAACGACCGTTAACCCTTTCAGAAACGTTTCAATCTTAGCCATGAAGTAAAAACATTTTTAAGGGAAACACCACTGCCTATACAATACTTTAATTGTCAAAATATATCCTTTAAATACTGAATACATGTATCACTAAATACTTAATAGTAGACTTTCATAATTAGACACTCTCATAACTGCAGTCCGTCATTTGATTCATAACGTCATTTGGGTCACTTAGAAATACTGCACTTAACTAATATTCTTTTTATCTGATATCAGGCCTCCAACCAATGCTGTTAGCTGATGAATAAGTCTGTATATAGGATATGTAATGGATTTCTGCTGATTTTATATACATTTCAATACTGATATTATCGACATAGAAATAAATTTGAAAACAATTCAATTTGGTATTTGTTTTTACAATGTCTAAAACTTGTATAAGAAGTAATTGTACAATATTTATGAGGATCAATTAAGTGGAATGTGACCTGTCCGCGGCCAGTTCTATTATGATTTTTTTAAGGAATGTCGCAATGAGCATCAAACTAAATGGTTTTATCATATTGAAACAAGGATATTTCTGCTGTGAAACCAATGGAATTTCCCTGGACAAGGGCTATTCGAAAAATAAATATATGTATAGGGGTGGAGGCAGGGGGGCACTTTTCTGTTGCCTAATTACAACAGAATTGTATGACCCCAAACACATTTTTTGTATAAAAAATGCCTTTCCCAACTATTTATATCTGGAATGGTCCCTATCAGCAGAGCAATCAGTACATGTGAAACAACATGTTAATCTGGAATATATGTTCAACATATTGAAAACCTTGAAGGTTGTCAAAGAAATACAATCAGACGGTATAAGTAATTCACATTTAAAACTGTATATATAAAAGTTTTTTTTTCCCATTCAGATACCTTAAGTAAATAATAACCTATAATTATTTACATTCAAAAGAAAAACCATTACCACCATGCAAATAATGTACAAATGAATGTCAGTCAGAAAAGACAAGTAAATATCTACAGATAAAGAACAAATGAAAGTTTACACTAGAGGCAGGTTTTCTACATTGGGAAACATAATTTTGTATATACGAATCATAGGTATGACATGAATGTACAAAGGATATTTTATAGAACTGTCTAAATCTTTTGAAACACACCTATCCGTTATTGGGACCTAATACTTTAAGCATTTCGTCAGAAAAAAATAGAACTGTATGTCACAAGCTTACTTGATATCCCTGCTTCTCCAAAGAAATACTCATCAAAAGTCAGTTGCAATGTTGATAAATCAAGTAAGACAAGGTTTGGTTGGATGTTTCATAAAAGTCTGTTCAAAGATTTTATGAACATCATTCTGAGCATATTGAATACTAGGTTAATCACTTAAAAGAAAGTTTTACCTAGGGATTTCGCAAAAGTAGCATAACTAATACAAAATAGCTGGATTAAAAAAAGCAAAGGTGCAAAACTTCAGAGTAAGGTGATTACATCATAAGTGTTTCACAGAATTCGAATGAAAACTAAGAGTTGTCTAGACAAGATAAAAGATTACATCTACAGTAGGACAGACAATTGCAACTTGAGTTCATTATAACACATACTAACTTTGTCGTGGTGGGTATACCAATCAATAAATAAAATGTCTAATGTGTAATGTGCTTAATCAAACTGTTGATACCAAACACAAACAAAGTTTTAAAGTAAGAAATATCTTCAAAATATGATATCCAAGATTTCTTTTCGTATTCTTTAGTAATTTAAGACAGCAAATAATTTTCAAGATGTTGTGCATTTTGTTTAACCTCTAAAATTTTCAAACCTGCAAATGTGATTTCAAGAGCATAAGAAAAGAAACATTCAAACTCACTTAACATAAGGAGAAATACCCATAAAACTAACCATTGAAACAAAATGCATGTCAAAAGTAATCATCCCTTATTTTAAAACACTAGTAGAAAATACCCCAACTCTTATATTTTAGTTACAATTGAACGGTTAATACAACAAAGTCAAATTTTGTCAAATTAGCTACTGTTTACTGGTGATTTTTTATAATTTAACATCATGCTGATATTGATTTGTGATTTGCCTTATGGACTTTGAAATAAAATGCCTCCTTTTACATACTCATTGTTCTGAAAGTCTCGTAAGTTTTCTTTTCCTTTCATTACATGTATTAAAAAGTCAAAATTGAAATAAAAATTTAAAAATTTAAAAAGCATAATACATACATATTGACCCATTTAAGTTCAAGTATGATATAAAATGAAATTAAAATGTTCCCGAACAAAACAAGATAATTGCCCTTACAATCAACTGACAATAGATCATTGAGGTAATTGTATGGGGCAAGTATTTAATACAAAAGTTGATTGCATTCAATTCTAATGTTCCACTTTTTCTGCAAATATTTGATAATATTTTACACCCCATAATAAACACAACAAGATTACTTATTTAATGAAAATGTGTCTGTATCCTTTTTTCAAGTTATATTTCCTGTTTTACCAGTACCTACATGTATGTGTGACATTTAATACATAAATGAACAACAGTATATACATTAGTACATGTACATTGTTCAAATTAAAATTACAAAATAAGAAGGGTTCTAATCACCAGCTGATATATACAACACAATTCCATTATTAAGTTTAGGTAATAACATTCAAAGATTGAGGCACCCTAAATTAAGCAATATTTCAATATTTATGGTTACAACTTGCAGAAATTAAAAACTTCTTATAAACAACAGCAGTAAAAGTAAATTCTAGATGGGTGCCAGAATATGGCCAATGAAGATTACCTGCAATTAGTCGAACTAAGTAGCTTACATAACGTTGGTAGGGGATATTAAAGTAACAAAATGTCATCTGTTTTATATGCATTACATGGGAAAATGGCAGAATGTTGGGGGTCAATCTTTAATACAGTTTATTTAATCAAAGAGCTAATTGGATGCAGCTAATTTCATAAAAGGAGGAATTTAAGGTAGGAATTTGTATACACATAGTATCATTGGTCTTCAACACCTTCCCTCTAGGTCATACATATATCAGCAACGACACTAAAATATCACAAATACAACCTTTAAGGCACAACACTCATCTACCATCCCTCACTCCCTTTAAATGTACATAAACACTAGTCTCTCATTAAAACAGATTCCCACCAAATAAGATCCAGTTACAAGTCATCATACCACTGATATAAAGCACACACAAACATCACATGTGTTTAATTAGGCCTTGTCTCCACATTTTATGCATGGTGTACATTACATTACAGCAACATATTGCACATCAAATCCTGTTAATAAAGTGAAATGCAACATAATATAACATGCTATCTTTAGGTATCATCAAAAACTAAAGTATCTACACCTCTTACTACAAAATGAAGACAACTGACTAGATTTGGATATTACCGCCGTACTACATGTATTTAACAGCTGACTGGCATTCACCTCTGAAGACACATTTAAACTCTTCCAATTCAGAGGTTGGAATAGTTCATTATGAAATTTCAGGGGTGAATGAGTTAACAGAAATGAACAAAGCCAAACATCAAAATAAAACATGTCAGAAGTGATGTTTTCATTGGACATTACTGATGACAAAACAGAGACTGCTTGTTTGTTCTGTTTATAGGTACATGTACCGGTATGTGCGCACTCCTTTCCTTACCAAACATCAAGGGTGAATGAGTTAGTATTCAAACAGATTTTAAGGTCCATTTTTTTTTTTTTGGAGTCAATGTGATCAGAATAAATCTTCAAATTTGTATCATTTTTTATACAAATTTTTCATGTTATTGATTCATTTTAAGTAATAAATTTGTGAAACTGTCATTAAGCTAATCAGAAATAAATAGGCCAAGATTAATAAATTCTATGTATACTTCCCAACGCCAACTCTTTTACCAAACTTTCACACACATACCAATTTATATAGATATATGTTTTATGTGTTTAAACTTGTGTGGTAAACAAGTAAATATACATATGTATATCACATGACTACTATGTTATACTGAGCATATAATAAAGATATATTCGTAATTAGGCCAATGTTTACCATATGTTGTATATTTCAAAACACCAATTCTTTTACCACACATTTACAAATACACACATAATATATGTGTGTAAATACGGATGGTAAATGTGTATTTAGATCACGTATCTAATACGTTATACAGTGCATATACTCAAATAATTTATTTTTTTGAGTATTACCTCCTGTGACATCCTATTGTGACACTGGAACTAAGAAATGTTATTGTGTATTGTGACTTTGCAAGGAAGACTATAGACATGTCTTTAAGGCTGTGATCATTAGGACGCGACAATGGGTTCAGAAAAGATGTTTTCCACAAGTATTTGCATACATCCTTAGTAAGAAAAATCTTAATTTTATTTCATAAGAGGTTTATAAATGTCACCCCAAAGTTTTCTTTTTAGCTTGACATAGCAAAAATATAAAAAGCTAAAATGAAAGTTTAGGATAGTTCCAGAAACATTTTAATGAAAAAGGAATGAAGTTCTAAATTTAGAACATACACATCAGCAGCCTGTACCTTGTATAAAACAGAGATTCAGCAGCATGCATCACTCAGCTTAAATAAGATTTCAAGAGAAATTGTACTGTTGTTCATTCTAAAATCTCTTTAAACTACAAAACTTTTAAATGAAAAGCGTAAAATAATTCTATTTTAATGATGAAATCATTTCTTACTGTTCACTCATTGCATGCACATTCCAAATATGACATTTGTCTTATAAATTATGTGGTAATTTAAGTCATCTTTCTATCCAGTGTTAAATGATGCAAGTTTTTTTTTTTTTTTTTTTTCAATAATTTGCAGATGTACACAAAATCACAAGTCAGGGGATGAATTTTTTGCAGTTCTGTGTTTGTAATATATAAACTCCAATATGACTAATTGTCAATGACAAATGTTCAATTTAGATCTAGTTTTGGCAGAAATATTCACAATTAATGAAAAATCTCAATTACTGATAATGGACAATCTGAGGCTGGATGAAATCTCGAGAATGCATGTTTTATACAAGCAGGCTTGGACTATTACAGTTAACACAGTGATAATTCACCTATTCATATCTGCTAGTTGTGTTCACCTATACATGGAGTGGAGCATGAAGTATATCAAAGTTTAAAGAACAAAAAGGTTAACATTGGTGTGATAGATAATTTTAGAAACAAATGCTGCAACATAGCATATAACATATATATATTCTCTTACAGGCAAATACACCTACGGCCTGTAGGGTTAATGGAATTTAAAACTCTACTATATATAGGTTAACTACTGTAATATTTGGGGGCACGAGCTCGGAGGTTCCTATAGAGGAACACCTGTACAAATATAGATATGTCTATAGACACTTGCAGCATGCCACATATCCAAAACTGGGGTGGTGCCTCTCGCAGGATAAAGTAACCAGTCTTAAACACATCTCCACAAGTCCAGAACCCCACCATCTTCTTACTGAAACACACAGAGAAAATACAGGTTACTTAGGTCAAATCACTATCATCCTAGTACAAGGACAAACATTTCTATAAAATAGATTGAATGTCAAGCATCAAACCTATTCAAGGTATTCTTAAGCAACCAAAGGGCAGTAACTCCCATAAAAGCTGACGAAGTAAATTTGAGACATTGTCAATATCTATACTGTACCATCGTGTCATCAAACTAGAAAATGTCTGAATTACATAAATCCCCCTCCTCCATAAAAATGAATGCTCCTTCAATGTAAAATTAGATTTGTTGCTGACAACTCTCTTATAGAATATTTAGTTTTATCAAAACTCTGCTGAGAAGTCACTTGAGTTATAACTCTGAAATGTTTGATGATTTTTCCATAAAAAATGTGACCTCAGCCTGACCATTGAACACAGAAATATCAGTTTATCTGAGGCATTCCCATCCTTGACCGATGTATAATGTCTCATTAGAGCAATAACACTGAATTGGGAAGGGGTGGACATGGATAACTCTACATGCCCCCCCCCCCACCCCCCACCCCCGAAATAATGCCAGAGGTGGGGGTTAGAATAAGGATGAAAGGATGTTGACAGGCCATTTACCCACTAGTATCCATTCATCATTTTAATTGACAGGTGCCACTCATTTTAATTCAGCAATAAAAAATAATAATAACAAGAGGCCCATGGGCCTAAACGGTCACCTGAGTCTACAGTATTTATTTTTGTTGTTGAAATATGTACCAATTTGAGTAAAAAATAGTATAATGTTAACTTAACTTTGTCAGGACCATGAGCTGATCATTCCTAGACCAATTTTAAGTGAGATCGGCCTATTAGAACTTAGTAGCAAAATAGCGGCCATGGCAGCCAAATTGTATTTCTGATTGACCCGAAAAATAACAACACTTTGTCAGGACCATGATTCGATCATTCCTACAAAGTTTCAGTTCAATCGGCCAAGTAGATCTTTACTTTAAGTTTGAAATAGTTTACCAAAATGGCAGCTGTGGTGGCCATATTGGATTTCTGATCGACCTGAAAAATAACAACACTTTGTCAGGACCATGAGTCAATCATTCCTACAAAGTTTCAGTTCAATCGGCCTAGCAGAACTTGACTTTAAGTTTGAAATATGTTTTCAAAATGGTGGCCGTGGCGGCCATATTGGATTTATGATTGACCTGAAAAATAACAACACTTTGTCAGGACCATGAGTCGATCATTCCTACAAACTTTAAGTTCAATCGGTCCAGCAGAACTTGACTTTAAGTTTGAAATAGGTTTTCAAAATGGCGGCCGTGGTGGCCATATTGGATTTCTGATCGACCCAAAAAATAACAACACTTTGTCAGGACCATGAGGCGATCATTCCTACCAACTTTCAGTTCAATCGGTCCAGCAGAACTTGACTTTAAGTTTGAAATAGGTTTTCAAAATGGTGGCCGTGGCGGCCATATTGGATTTCTGATCGACCCGAAAAATAACAACACTTTGTCAGGACCATGAGGCGATCATTCCTACCAACTTTCAGTTCAATCGGCCCGGCAGAACTTGACTTTAAGTTTGAAATGTAAAATGTTAACGGACGACGGACGACGGACGACGGACGACGGACGACGACGGATGAAAACGGATAGCAATAGGTCACTTGAGCTAAAGCTCAGGTGACCTAAAAATCAAATGCTGAAACCATTGACCTACTTCATTCCTTGTATTGAACAAATATATAAAATATAAACTAAGACTTGACCGAACATATTACTTGTACTGTATGTCATATGAAGGCTTGACCTAACTCATTCCTTGTACTGTATAAAATATAAACTATGACTTGACCCAACTCATTCCTTGTACTGTATAAAATATAAACTATGACTTGACCGAACATATTACTTGTACTGTATGTCATATGAAGGCTTGACCTAACTCATTCCTTGTACTGTATAAAATATAAACTATGACTTGACCCAACTCATTCCTTGTACTGTATAAAATATAAACTATGACTTGACCGAACATATTACTTGTACTGTATGTCATATGAAGGCTTGACCTAACTCATTCCTTGTACTGTATAAAATATAAACTATGACTTGACCCAACTCATTCCTTGTACTGTATAAAATATAAACTATGACTTGACCGAACATATTACTTGTACTGTATGTCATATGAAGGCTTGACCTAACTCATTCCTTGTACTGTATAAAATATAAACTATGACTTGACCCAACTCATTCCTTGTACTGTATAAAATATAAACTATGACTTGACCGAACATATTACTTGTACTGTATGTAATATGAAGTAAGGCTTGACCTAACTCATTCCTTGTACAATGTACTGTATAAAATATAAACTAAGACTTGACCCAACTCATTCCTTGTACGTAATCCGTTGTACTGTATAAAGTTGTGTATGGTGGCAATGCCATGGTAAAAGTTTCCAGGCCACTTACCCACTAGTATCCATTTTCAATTTAAATAAACAAGTACCAATCATTTTAATTCAGCAATTATTAATGGTACAGTGTTATTCACAAAAAATGCTTTTTTTTTTGTAAAAAGCTGAAACCACTGACCTACTTCTTTCCTTGTACTGTACGTGCAAGTAAAAAGAAACTAAGGTTTGACCTACCTCATTCCTTGAGTTGATTTATTTTGGAAATTCCTGTAAAACTGTGGTGCCCCTAATAAGGCTTCTGCAAACACAGCTAGAAATCCTATAAGTTCTACATAGATAATGTTGTTTAAGAGGAGGAAGGTCAGCAGTGCCACCATAGCCGTGAACAACATGATGAACTGGATATAACTTTTGAAGTCGGTCCACTGCCAAAACTGATGACGGTCAAAGTCTACAAAACAAAACAAATGATTTTTTAATGATAATCTAATTCCAATTATCAAAGATTGAACAGATTGTTACTACTTTTAGAGAACAAATCATGAATTATTTGTGTTAATTTCTATCACTTAGTAACGTTGATATTGATTAGTAGTTAATCAAATTAAAAGAACAGAATGAATTTACATGCATGTTAATTTCACATTTTGTTGTTTCATGTTTATAATAGCTTATTGTTCTATATGATATAATCTCATCTCTATTTTTTTTCAACTTCGAAATTTATATTTCAATCTGTAACTTCTCTAAACTGACAGTACATATCCATATATGAAAATGATATACAACATCAGCTCTTGTCATTAGCCACAAAAGCAATAAGCATACATGTATACCCGATTACTATTGGTAGTGTTCAAACAAAATAAAACAGCTTTTAGAATTTTTGACAAGAAAGGAATAAAGTGAAATGCCACAAATTGAAGTATTTGGGCACTGATTTTATACTACTCAAATATTCTATGTCTTTTACATATTTCAAATGTCTGTTCCTTAACTTGTTTCTTTTTCAATGAACACAAAAAATAAAACAGCAATAGTTATTAATCTATAACTCGTTTTGATAAAATGTTTTCCTTTTCTTGATCACTGAAAACTTGATCACTTGATCAACCTTGGTAGAAGTTGAAAATTGAGGCAAATATGGAAAAATATGTCAAAATATATGTCTCAATTTTGTGTATGACATTCATGTAGATCAATAGAGAAACAAGATCAACATTTTCATTATCTTTTTTTTTTTAAAGTAAAACAACATGGCATAAAAAGGAAAATGAATCAATTCCCAAATATTAATCCGATATGGCACTTCACTCTACCCGTAAATATATTCAAAATCTTCAGGTCAAAATCAAACCAATGTAAGGTTGTTTGGTAGATAACACTGTGTAAAATACATTACACAACCAAGCCTACTAAATGCCATGCATAAAAGTGATTACTATACTTTAGTGTTAAAACTCAAACCAAGGCTTACTGATATAAACTGTAATGTTCTGGGTATTAACCCATTCAAGAGTCCATTATCACATTAACTTGTATGTGTGATGCTGTTTGAAACAAGACACATGCACCCATTGACCTTAGCAATCCACCTTTAGTTCATTTTAGATACGATATACACAGATCTATTCAAGAAACTCAAGACATCTTTAAAAATAAAATATCAATATCTTAAGTGAAATATATATATATATAGTCTTACATATAACAGAGATAATTCCAATAAATTTTGTAATAACAGAAATATTTTTCAATGATATAGAAATCTCATGTTATTTGATAATAGCTAGAGATATATTCAAATGAAATAGATATCTAAACAAAAAGAAAAAATATCATTAAATGGAAATATCTTCGAATAGATCAAAGATACATTTCAATGAATTAATGATATCTATAAAGTTAATGTAACATACGTCTCATATAGTTAAGACTTTTCGAAAAATATCTCCAAAATTGTAGTTAGTATCTACATAGAATCAACTACATTTTTAATGTTGAAAATTTTTCAGTAACAGTAGCAATAATAATATATATTTCTGTATTCCAACGTTTTTGCACTGGTTAACATTCATAGAAGAGTAAATGTTTAAAGATTGAATTTCATTTGTATGATCTATAATTCTCGATATCAGGTGAATTAAAAGGCATCCACAGTTCTTCTAGACAGAGATATTTTCATATTCATAGGTCTTTGTTTAACAATATGCAAACAATACTCTCGAAGATAAAGTTTAAATCAGTTTTATACATTTTAGGTATTGTACAGGGTATCAGTTTTACCATGACTGATTTCGCTATAACAGACTAACAGGATAAAATAATAATATAATGTAACATCACAGATTAATCAGCCACAAAAACAAACATTTCTGTAACAAACTGGGATTCATGCATGGATGGGTCGGGGTATATCACAGTGCCACGATTCTGTTCGTAAACATCATGCTAAAATATCAATATAACTTCCTCTGTCATGCAACACTCTGACTTTTGCCGTCTTCTTAACAACGTTCATATGCTGTTATTATAAATCTGCCTCCAAATCTTACTCAACAGTGATATGGATAATACAGCATCTGTAAATCTCATGATCGTAAAACTGAGAATTGATATTGTACATTGTAGAACACAACATCTGTCAATAATAACATGTTTTCCTACTTTTTAAATTCACACATCATACCATATAACATGATTAATGTAACATTCGACAAAAATTGTCATCAGATTATGTAGAAAACTATATAAATAATATAACCATCATAAGACAACTCATCTTTTTTCATGATCATCTCATTCATCTGGGACAGTAAACAAACGTTGATATAAACTAATATCTATAACTTCACTTGATCTTACCTATTTTAACATATATTGGCATTATTCTTGATAGTGACATTATTAATACATGATTGTACAATGTACAAAAATATCAGCATGAACAATAACAGACATGTATAACAATATGGCATTATTGACATTTTACTCCCCTAAATTTCATCTTAGAGCAGTGGCGGGTATATCGACTCCCCGAGTGACCATCCAATTTATTTCCATGATGGGTGTATATATTTTCATGAGAATTGCTTTCTAACACTTCAATGATAAGGTGGTCAATATTTGTCAATGACTCATAAATGCATGGTGAATTACATATATCCAGACAGGTACTATTTAATATCCATATAAGTTCATTAAATGTTGGCCAAAATTACACCTGACAGCCAAAAAAACCCAACACTGCTTCAATAAAGTTGATTTTGTAAAGACAAACAATAATCCTCCCGAATTAAAATGAGTTGCAAACTTTGAAACATCTATGTTTGGCTAAAAATAAAGGACAGCGATAAACTATTGAAAACAAAAAATATTAAAACACCACCATGCTAATAAGCATCACAACATCAAAATTAACAGCGTAGGTGAGTTGATATATACTAGCACTACTAGGGAGTCTGTTCAGGGACGGGTTGGGTGTAGGTAACATACATATAGTATAAGGGACCATCACATAGACAATACTCTACCTTGATCAGGATGTTTGATCTAGACCATACAGGTCCAAGTGTCTTAACATTATAGTCTGAATATAAGTCACTTCTATGTAATTAGGTGTCTTAATCTGATCTAGACCATACAGGTCCAAGTGTCTTAATATTATAGTCTGAATATAAGTCACTTCTATGTAATTAAGTGTCATAATCTGATCTAGACCATACAGGTCCAAGTGTCTTAACATTATAGTCTGAATATAAGTCACTTCTATGTAATTAAGTGACTTAATCTGATCTAGACCATACAGGTCCAAGTGTCTTAACATTATAGTCTGAATATAAGTCACTTCTATGTAATTTGGTCTCTTAATCTGATCTAGACCATACAGGTCCAAGTGTCTTAACATTAAAGTCTGAATCTAAGTCACTTCTATGTAATTAGGTATCTTAATCTGATCTAGACCATACAGGTCCAAGTGTCTTAACATTAAAGTCTGAATCTAAGTCACTTCTATGTAATTAAGTGTCATAATCTGATCTAGACCATACAGGTCCAAGTGTCTTAATATTATAGTCTCAATATAAGTCACTTCTATGTAATTAAGTGTCTTAATCTGATCTAGACCATAAAGGTCCAAGTGTCTTAACATTATAGTCTGAATATAAGTCACTTCTATGTAATTAAGTGTCTTAATCTGATCTAGACCATACAGATCCAAGTGTCTTAACATTATAGTCTGAATATAAGTCACTTCTATATAATTAAGTGTCTTAATCTGATCTAGACCATAAAGGTCCAAGTGTCTTAACATTATAGTCTGAATCTAAGTCACTTCTATGTAATTAGGTATCTTAATCTGATCTAGACCATACAGGTCCAAGTGTCTTAACATTATAGTCTGAATATAAGTCAATTCTATGTAATTAGGTGTCTTAATCTGATCTAGACCATACAGATCCAAGTGTCTTAACATTATAGTCTGAATATAAGTCACTTCTATATAATTAAGTGTCTTAATCTGATCTAGACCATAAAGGTCCAAGTGTCTTAACATTATAGTCTGAATATAAGTCAATTCTATGTAATTAGGTGTCTTAATCTGATCTAGACCATACAGGTCCAAGTGTCTTAAAAGTATCATCTGAATCTAAGTCACTTTTATATAATTTAGTGTCTTAATCTGCAAAGAATATATTTACATTTGTATCTCATATGGATTAAGTGCCATTACTTAGATTATATGTTTGAACATAAATCAATGGTCTTCTCCTGACATTAGCTGTCCACTTGAATTGTCTGATTAGATCAGATTTGAGTGACTTATAACTTTGTCTAAAGCCATTAAAATACAAGTACTTTTTATGTCTTCAATTGTCTCAAATCAGTCTTGTGTAGCGAAATAACATGAAAACCCATTTATCATTGTACCAATTATTGTAAATTCTGAAATAACTGGAGCTCTGATGATTTCAATACTATCTTGAGTAACACCATACTTGAACACTGTCCTAAGTAATGTTATTTATATATTTTGATATATTGAAGCTGAATGCAAGAATTTTCAGTAAAATGGGAATTATTTTCCTATGTGATTATTTTGTTGCATCATTTATGGTGTAGAAATCCTAACTTGGGCAATGTTGATGTAATTATTAGCGTTTCACTATGTTCGGAATGAGATTCATCAATTTAGAATAATTAATATATACTAAGTTTGTTTGAACACAGAGAGTAATTGAAAACTTATTTTGTCAGCTTTGTTTTTTGGACTCTTGCTTGACAAAGGAAACAGACCTTTCAAGCTCGTAAAATGAGTTTCAAATTACTGTTTGTGTTCAAAGAACTTTACATATATTTAACTATGTTTACAGTAACTTCACACCGACATGTTTTTCTGTTAATCAAGTTTGTATATATTTCCACAACTTTTGAGTACCTACCCATGGAAATCAATATTCACCAACCACATAAAACTGGCCTTCAAGGGGGGTGGGGGGATAATTAATGCACTGCAGAAGTGGAAATAAACTAATGCAAAAATAACTAAGTATGAATAATGATAAATTAAAGATAATAAACAGAATCGAGGTTTCTGAACCATTGCCAATGCAAACAATATCCAAACTTGCTACCAGTTTAAAGAATCACAATACAAACATTTTCATAAGCTAGAATGTAAGGTCAAGTTCCATATGTGTTTCAAAATTAATTAACTCATTCACCCCTGAAGACACATTTGAACTCTTCCAATTCAAAGGTTGGAATAGTTCATTATGAAATTCAGAGGTAAATGAATGAGGTAATAGAAATGAACAAAGACAAACATCAAAATAAAACATGTCAGAAGTGATGTTTTCATTGGACATTACTGATGACAAAACAGAGATTGTTTGCTTGTTCTGTTTATAGGTACATGTAGGTGTGCACTCCTTTCATGTGTGGGGGGTACCAAACAACAAACCAGATTACTGGCTGAACAAATGGGGAGAGGGCCAATCAGAAACCAATAAATTATTAAATATTATAAATTATAATATACAATGTTGTTAATTTGCAAAATTATTTCTAACATTCTGCTCAATTTTATATAAAAAACATAAACTACTGTTGATCTTTAAACATTTTGAGGTGGTAAAAGGGAAAATATAAGCAGAGGTGTACAATTTCTTATTTCAAGTACTAGCCCACAGACACATTTTAAAAAGCTTTTCTAACCAGGCCAATACTCTCCCAGTGAGAACCGAACATTTTCATTAGCCCCAGACGTCAAATCCTTTCAGTCCTGAGCACTAGACTGGAGTAATTGTACACCCCTGCTTAGCAAGTCGAATTCCCACCAACTTAACCAAGCTAACACGAAGTATACCACACTCACAGTGCTATAATTATAGTGTTTGTATTAAGAAGCAGAGAAATGAAGGTTACGGTCAGTGCAGATGAAAATTGGAATATGATTGAAAACTATTGACTACATACCAAGGAATGTAGACCTGCCCGCAGCCTTCCCCAGGGAGGGGTATGACCGGGAGGTTTCTGAGTCGCCATTTTGGTGAGGGTGATTCTTAGAATCTGCCATGAACACAGCAAACAACAGACTGACAGTGAGTTAAATGTAGATAGGGGGTATGGTACCGGTGTGTTATTATCAGTATCACATGTTAGTGTATAATGATAATGTAGTTGTAATACATGGTCACAAAGTCTGTTCACCTTACCACACAGAAATTATTATTGTACAGGTAGGATCTGTCTTCGGTCTAGTACCTGTTATTCCATATTGTTGATAATTTCTGATGTCATGATAACCAAAAAGAAAATCAACCCTTATTTATTGCTGACATCACAGAGCCACATATTTGACAGTTCACACTACTGTTCATGGCATTTGGGACAAAATGTTGTAAAAACAAAATTGTCCATGAAATCGTTAAAGAATGTCAGTTGTATATAGACATTTTATTTTGCTGATTTTGGAATTAGGGCAACAACTTTATGTTAAGTCCAATATGTTCAACTAAATATTTTATAGAGCTACATCTAAAATTAGCAATTAATAAACTGTTGATATTGTCTATAAAGTAATACTAGCTGTTTACCTGTGCAAATTCATTAAATATAGCATTCAAGAGATTTTACAAGTTTTAAGCAAGGAATTTGAAATAAAATGAATAAAAATGAAAAATATCATGAGAACTGTTATCACTTTTTGGTTTTAACTCTTTAAATTTCTACAAGACATATACAGGAGAGCACTTGCTTCACCTGCGTTGAGTATCCACAAGATACACAATGGCTATACAACCGAGGACCTTACCATGCACTACAACACACAGTAACAATCGTCCATAGAACATAATATACTATAATGAAACATTAAACGAGAAGCACAATAAATGGATAATCTAGTTGGAAACTCGATAAGATAAAATGAAAATCAAATCTATTGATAAAAAGTAATCTGTCACAACTATGAACCAGTGACAACATCTACCAGGTTCGATACACAAATTTTATATCATAAGGTTTTATATGTGATGAACATATTATATGTAGCAGGTGATTTATCTTTGTTTTATAAATATGTATGATTGTATGTAATGATCTTTGATCCCTGACATGTGGATTCTTGAACTCCGCAAAGTTTCTTTCCCTTTGGAAAACAATTTCAGTCCCAACATAGATAGGAGGGGCACAGAGAGAAGCAAAGCCGTAGTACTAGTCCCGTTACAAGTATTAGGTTATGGAATATTACGTCATCACATCAGTATTCATATTGCATCCAGAATGTGATGTATTTCGCAATGTAATAAATGGTTTGTCTTAGTTATAAAACTCATGCTGAAGTATTATAAATTATTCACATGGCAGTATTTAGTAAATAATGAAATGAAATAATATCATAAATTAGTGAAAATGTCTTGTTTAGTAAAATTGATGTCCCTCCACAATGGTTATACAATGTACATACCATAAAGAGAGACAACTCTGTCAAATTGTGTGTTATTAGGGTTGAATGTACCAGTACAGAAAAATAGTTTATATAAACAGAAACGAAAACACATTATAACTTTTCAGAAAAGCATCTCTGCTCGACTATGGGAATTCTGAAACTCTTTACCAAGAAGCAGGGAGCTTTTCTATTGCAGTACTGTCCTAACTCTTGTTAATACTTTTCTGCACCATTATACACTGTACAATTACCCAAGAATAACATCAAAGTGTTTTAACTCCCTAAAGGGGTCTCAAACCAGTCATTGACTTTGTATGGTTGTAGAGGAGATGACAGAAAGACAACTTACCAAGGCCTGACTCTCTACCTAGAACTCACTCAATCTTGTTTATCTAAGAGCTGTGTGCTTTGCTAGTCAGATTGACATTTTGCTTCATTGCCTTACTTGCAATTTGTAAGAAATTACTTCACCAATGAATGAAATTGTTATCTTCTATAAGCAGCGAAAATGTGTTGGTGCTTAACACTATCTTAGAGACTAAGACAGTTACATACCATGGATGAATATTTTAAAACGTTTTCCTCCTAACTAAAGAGGAGGACCAGAGACACCATGTCCTTTTACGGTGTTGATGAGTAGAAATCCAGGTAAGATCTGTCATGGATAAACTATACACTAGATATATATTATAAAAGTCCTCACAAGTATAACATCACACTAATACTGTACACGGATAGTCCGATACATAGTTACAGCAGATACAATTTGTCACACTTGCTAAACATCTTATCAACACAGTAAGCTCATTGATAGCCATGACACAAGAAAATGGTAATGCTGTCAGTAATCAAAGGAAGCCAGTTCAGAAAAGAAATAGGTAAGGTAGATGAGAAAAGATGTAGACCAATTGAGGTGCCTCTTACCTCATACTATGTTAAAGTTATTAGTAAAGAGGAAATTAAGATTTTAAAACGTAAACGGTCATGAATAATTCAGACTTTGAAACAGTGATAATCTTACACAGATTAAATTAGAATATATGTCTTATAGATATACTGGTAGGTTGTCTTGACAGAATTTAGTTTTTATGAAGAAAAAATATTAGAAAAGGGTAATGAAAGAAAAAGTATAGCATAGTAAATCTGTATAGTAATGAAAACTAAAAGAAATATTCAAGTTGTAGATGGACAGACAGACATTGATAAAAAGCATTTTTTGTGAAAAATTCTGTATGGGTGGTATACACCACCAAATGAGATAATTATATGTATATTGAAAAGAATGTCAAATTCAAAAACCCACATATATCTGTATATGAAATGAAAGATGTGCAGAAAAGGTTTGAAATATTGTGTGCATAATATATGTGGTATCAATTTAATACTACGTAAGTGTTCATGTATAAGTGTTGTTATCTTCCTTGACCAGCCACCAATATGATTCCATACATTCAAATATATACTGTACAATATATTGAGGATATAAATGTTATCTCTAAAAATACTTTATAATACAGAATAACATTAAGATTAGGTTGCCAAATGTCATTATACGATGTAATTATGGGACCTTACCAGTAAATTGATGTTGTTTTGACGCCACTATTTCTGACTTGTTCTTCATCTGTACACACAGGCGCATCATCATCATCATCGTGAACACCATTATAACACTTTGGGCAAGAAGAGGCAACTCAAAGTGCTTTCCAAACCTATAAGTACAGTTTCAAAAAATATTTAGATTCATTAAAATATTACAGCATTTCCAATTTTATAAGTAATTCTTAAGAATGTGTGCTGACAGATGCACCAATAAATTACCCAATAACATGTCTGATTCTGAATTATTCCAGATTATATATATATCCGTTAAGTTATAATTTAGGAGATACGAATAGATGATATTTAATTCAAATATACAACACTTGTAAGAAGCAAATTTGTGGGATCATTGTTTTAGTCGTTTTGAAACTCAAACAAATTAAAGAACATGTTTGCTATTATATCATGGATCACATTATATTTGAACATGACCCGGTCCAAATTTGTTGAGCTTGTTAACTCTTACTTAATGGCCATTTGACAAAAAAAGGTCATTTTAGGCCTACAGCAAAGACTGTAACATGTAAACACAAGTCACTAAACCGCTAAAATTGATGAAACATTAATACTGTGAGTAATGTCATGCATTATTTTATTATACTTGAATTTGGAAAAAAAATGAATAGGTACATACTTTGCAAATGAATATAAACAGTCCATGTGTCTTTATATCTGGATGTACATTGTTACCGTCATTGTATGCATACAAGATTTTGAATTTCTTTGAAATTTGATTTTTTACTGATTTCTTTTTATTTACGAATACACAGATTTACAAACACAATGTTTTTCATAAAGGTTACCAGAAAAGTTATTGCAAGGCAACAAAATAAAATCAATATTGAAAAAATTAACCTACCATAATTAATGAAGTACACAGCCAAAACTGATTCTTGAAAAACTTGGTCTAGACTTAAGTTATATTCAAATCTTTTCAGTGAATTATTTTTTCTATGGCAAATCTATTACAGGTACTGCCTTAAGAAAGTCTAAGAGACATACCAATTTACATAATTTTTACATAGTTAATACCAACCAGAACATGATCCTGAGTATATTGGCTATGAGCAGTGTGAGACAGACAAATGTAGAGAACCCATCTGTGTTACCAGACCGCCTGATGTCTCTGAACTGAGGAATGAACGGAACCACTCCTCCAAATACCATGGCACCAGCTGCCACCCAGTTGACGATCCCCATGACAGTGAGCTCCGGCATCATCCCTGACATGTGGTTGGGCAAATCAGACATGAAAGCCTGGAGCTGAACAGGTATAGGGGAGTCTGATGATGACATTTCACACTCAGCTTTTGTTTAAGTAGGGGTTGAGTTATTGATTGTCACACTTTCAAGTATTTAGGACATTGCACTATCAAACCCTGAAAATAAAGACAAATAAATTACAATCAAGTGTTATTTGTCATACATATGATACACAGCAGAATGTTTATCCTTAATACATTTAAATTTTATATATATTGTTTTGATGTTTCATATTCTATGACACGAAATCCCAGTGGGATCTTAGCGCCCACCATTGTACCATCTTCATTAGTTCTTTGTCAGTTCGATCTTTTCTCTTCTTTCCTCTAATCTGTTTGAATGAGTCATATGTTAACAGTAAATGCACTTTGAGGTAACTTTTGATCTTCATACTGATGTGTATGAAAGCCAACCTTCAAAGTGAGTTTGTCATTTCACATATTTACTAGTACAGTACTTAATGTGAAAGAAATAGAATCGATCATTGCAATATGAGAAAGATCTGTTTAGTTCTTCTTTTAACCCATTTTGGTTTTATGATCAGCCTCAAAATATAACATGCACAACGAGGGATGAAGGGGAACCTACATTTAAAATTTGAGAAAGATCCCTCTAGTTCTTCCGGAAAATTAGCGGTAACAATCCTACACTATCAAAATCGAAGATGGCTGTGTGTCGGCCATTTTGTTTATCCGATCAGTCTCAAAAGTTGCCCTGCACAGCTAAGGACCAAGGGGAACCTACATATAAATTTGAGAAAGATCACTCTGGTCCTTCTTGAGAAATAGCAATAACAAACTTTCACTATCAAAATCCAAAATGGCTGCCTGTCCGCCATGTTGTTTATCCGATCAGTCTCAAAAGTTGCCCTACACATTCTAAGGACTGAGGGGAACCTACATATAAAATTTGAGAAAGATCCCTCAGGTGCTTCTTGAGAAAAAGCAAAAACAAACTTTCACTATCAAAATCCAAGATGGCTGCCTGTCGGCCATGTTGTTTATCCGATCAGTCTCAAAAGTTGCCCTGCACAGCTAAGGACCAAGGGGAACCTACATATAAAATTTGAGAAAGATCCCTCGGGTACTTCTTGAGAAATAGCGATAACAAGAATAGTTTAAGGAAGGACCAGGGCCACGGACGCAGGGTGATTTGAATAGCCCACCATCAGATGATGGTGGGCTAAAAAGGAATCAAACAGATTGACATGAGGCTCTGCGGACATGTATTGCTCACCTCGATATTTAAGCAATCATGGAAATTGTTCTTGTATACATTTTTGCTCTATTTCTTAGATTCTTTGATATATGTAAGATATCTTTGATATTAAAAAAATCCTTTGAGGGATAAGGCATCCTTGATACTCCAGGGGTTACAATCACTTTCGCTCTCTGCACCCCTGGAATATGTCAATGAATAGTAAAATTGAAGACACTCGTCTACAGCTATTTGATTGGTCTCAGGGAAAACAAACGGACCAAACCTTCGGCTGATATTTATAGATATCCTTTTGAAACCAGTTATCAATTTTTAACTTAATTTATAATTCAAACATGAATTTCCACAATAGACTAGAGATTTGTGTATCCTCGCAACTGGTTCTTCTTCCTTCAAGGGTTATTGCTTTCTCAATTATACTGGATATAAACTTTTATTGTCATAGATAGTTGCAGTCCAATTCTTGCTAGCCCGAAATTCCTCTGGCCCCACACCAGACAGTACATCTCCTGTATCTGTTAAATGTTTAAGTCTGGTGCCAGACGAGAGGCCACATTACAGTAGTTTGAGGTTTTATCAATATAGCTGTAACAATCTGCATATAAAAAAATACCCATTATGCGATCAAAAAAAATGTATACAGATTGTTAGTTACATTGATTAGACGTTATACTCCTGTGGTTACATACATGCACTCATATATATACAGGTCCAGTACACTCTGCCGATTGAGCTATATAAATATAAAGACCTATATAGTTATATACACCTATACATTATAGCTGTATTGAGCTATATTTTCTCAGATTTCAATTTTCATTAAATTAAAGCAAAGTCGCATAAAACAATAAGGTTTATGGTAATATTAACTACAAAAAGCATACAGTTAGATGTTTATTTTCATAAATGTAAAATTTCCGATTTTTTTACATCATTATTTTTTAAAAAGAATACTTATATTTAATGTCTTTTGTTATCAACCTAATGGTACAATCTTCTTTTAAAAGCGACTTTGTTTCGTTTTCCTTGAAAAAAAATCAAATGAAAATAGCTCAAAAGACCTATTTCAGATAGGTCTTTACAGCTACATCTGTACATAGCTCAATCAGCAGTGTACTGGACCCGATATTTATATATTGCCCCTGATCACATCAGCGAGGACTGAAAAGAGTAAAATTTTAACAAATTCATCGGTTTTTCATGTCCAGCAAAATGACAGGTACATTTAAGATCAGTGAGCATACGTTGTTACACATGTGTAGAGTAACATTAGCTAATATATTCTAGCCATACCAAGCCCAAGCGGGCAATGTCAAATCCGAGAATGTGATCGCAATGGTGGGTTGACGAAAACGTTTAAAGAACAAAATATATATCCTCCTTTAAAATAAGATACCGAATGTGATATGATGATACCGGGTATGTTGCATACATGTGATTCGTAGAATCTATTAAGATTACTGTCCGTCGTCCGGTACGTGTTCGTCTCTACTTCATTTCAGCTATTGTAAACTAGAAGAGAGTTCTGCCCTAAGGGAAGTTACTCTACCCAAAACCAAGAATGATTTGCCTCCCTTTACGTTGAGTTTGGAACACAAGATACAAGAATTTTTATTTAGAGTCGTATATGTTATAATGGAAACATTAGCTCTGTAGCGCTATTATTACGACAAAAAAGGTATACAACAGGATATAAAATACAACATGCAGAAAACAACAGGCATTATATAGCAAGGTGTATACATGCACAGACAAGAATTTTTTTTAGATCACAGCATGCAGTAATTAAAAACAACTTGGCACGTACAGAACAAAGTAAAAATCTATATTAAAATTAATGCTGCATAAAAGATTCATGCCACATTCTCACAAATTAAGAAACCATGATTCAGCATATACATAAATGTCAATATGGCATGAGTTAAAATTGACCGAATATAAGCTAATATAGCATAAATTAAAAAGATGATTTGACAAGCATTGAGTAAGTCATACAATGCGTAAATAAGAGCACTAAGCAGAAAATGAAAGGAAGTAAAACCATAGAAGCATGGTATCACAAGACATGGTAAAAACTAAGTATAGAAATGATAAAAGGGTTGAACAAACAAACAAGACTAGTTACATATGGCGCAGGAACACAACTGGCCGTCCCAAGTGTGCAGCAGTCTGCGAAAGCTCTGGACATTTTCTACTTTCCTCAGTTCATTAGGCAAATTGTTCCACACTTGGGCAGCCTCAAAACGAAAAGATTTTTTTCCATACCGTGTTGTGCTAACTCTTGGTACCTTAATGGTGTTCTCTTGCCTGAAATTATATTCAACATTATTTTTAACAATCAAATCATTTAAAAATTCTGGGGCTAGCCCGTTTAAAATTTTAAAGACTTCTGTTACCATAGTCTTCATTCTAACAAGGGGAAAAGATGTGAGGTTGTTTCTGCGTAAAATATCTATCACAGGTGAGGCAAAATCGTTTTCAATAAAACGCAGAGCTCTTTCCTGTATCTTTTCCATCTTTCGAGTGTTGCTGAGGCTACAAAAATGCAAGACTAGGGGCAGTAATTGTAATTAGATTAAATAAAAGATTTAAAAATGGTGATCTTTCCCTTTTTGGTAAGACTATTTCCAATTCTTTTCAAAATAATTGTTTGGAGGCCTTTCTACAGATCTTAGATACATGGTCATCAAATCTCAATAAAGAGTCAATCTCCAAACCTAGCAGAGTAACACTATTTTACAATCAATTACCTGGTCTCCAATAGAAAAGGATTTAATGTTGTCACAGGTTTTTCCCCCTATACATATGGCCTGAAATTTGCTAGGATTTGCGTTCATACCATTTGCTGAAAACCTGTTTAGTAACAATGTACTTTCTTTTTCTAGAGTAAGTAACACGTACGGGATGGTATCAACGATGTAAATTACGATCGCAAAGTAAAGGTTATTTTTCTTTAATTATTGATCCGGTAAGATCTTGATCCACATAACCCTATTACCAAACATGATTTAAAGATAAAGCAAACATTTCAAACACAGTCCATTTCACTTTTTATTTTCTAGTCCTGATATTCTATGGATACAGAAGGTATCAAATCGGGAATATACATGGCAATCACCCTAAACGATACCACAATTACCATACAAGAAAAGCACATTCAAAAACAGAGATCACTTGATACTGACTAGCTGACCACAGGACAGCAGAAACTGCTCCTGCGTATTGAAAAAAAGGTCCCAAATCCAAATCCCTCACGTTCGTCATTGTAAACATCTAGAACACTGACAGGTCAGTAAGGGCCCCGTCTTGTGGCAATATATCCCCCATAATCATCAAGAAGCAATCTGCCCATATAGCTGAGCTTGACGTTTGACATTTGGACTTCAAAAAGAATCGCAAGGAAGCAAAATATACATTTTACATGTACTATGATGTGAGTCTTGTTTCCTTCCACCTCCATATTTGCTGGGCTAACAGAAATATAAATACCGGTGCAATACTCATTTGTTAGCTTTGATTTGTTTTATTTCACCTAATACACCTCCTACATCAAGATCCAGGGTCAAAATCAGAGATCCACTTTGTCTTTGACCTTTGGACCCAACTGACCTTGATCATTAACCTAGTGACCCTGAACTTTGGTCAGTTGACTTATTCTTTAATTCCGACCAACTTTGCTTCTTGATATCATAACAAAATGTTCATCAGTGAAAAATACAAAACTTGACCTTGACCCTTTGGACCCGTAACCTGGACCTAAGGTCATTTGACTCTGTGTTAAGTTCTGAACAGCATTGCTTCATAATATCATAACAAAATGTTCATCAGGGAAAAGGTACAAAATTTAACCTTGAGCCAATGACCTTGACCTTTGGTCAGTTGACTCCTTGTTCAATTCTGATCAACTTTGTTTCATCATGTCATAACAAAATGTTTATCAGTGAAAGGATGCAAATTTGACCTTGACCTTTGAATCTTATGACCTTGACCTTTGACCTCAACTTTTTACCTCAGTGTGTTTCTTTGTTTGATTCCGAACAACTTTGCTTCATAATGACATAGCGAAATGTTCACCAGTGAAAAGCTACAAAATTTGACCTTGACCCCTGACCATATGACCTTGACCTTTGGTCTGCTGACTCCTTGTTTAATTCTGATCAACTTTGCTTCATCATGTCATAACAAAATGTTCATCAGTGAAAAGATGTAAAAATTGACCTTGACCTTTGAACCTAATGACCTTGGCCCTTGAACTTGAGTTTTTACCTCAATCTGTATTTTTGTGAACTGAACATCTTGACCAAGTTTCATGTACATCGGTCAATAAATACCAAAGTTATCAGCCAGGAACAGAATTTGTGGACGGACAGACAGACAGACAGAGTGATTACTATAGGGCACCCGTATCTCCGATACGGGGCCCTAATTAGAGCAACATATTTTCGGTAGCATCCTTTACCACTTCAACATGGCCTCAGACAATCCTGATAAAGCGAAAGTCAGTTGATTAAGTTTATCTATGACATCTCGCGTAATTTTAAACAGGCATAGGGGAAGCAAACGACTTTAATTTAGTAAGACATTTGACCAAGTGAGCTAATCGGCTCTTTACACTTAAATATAGGAGTTACACTACGTATTGTAGTAGTTCTGGGAACAGTCAAGACAACAACTTGATTGAAAACTTCCTAAGTAACCCAACTGGCCAATCTGTCTTTAATCGAACACTAACTCGTTTTACAAGGTAAGGTTACCTCTGAACGAATTTCGTCTCTTTCATATAAACCCTATGGCTGAGGGCATTTCTTTCGGGGTAAATGAGGATGAAAGCATTGTGTATATCACATTAACATCAGAGAGTGATGTTCAATCCCTGCATCTCAAGCAAAATATCCGGATATTTCTATCAGATGCGACCCGGTATAAGTACTTGGTTCGCCTTCAATTTGACCGATAAGACCAGATCTGGTCCAATATTGGGCTGGTTAAAAATTGACAGGCTTTGAAGTCGGGCGTCTCTCCTTTGTAATCTTCAAAGGACAGGTATCAGCCTAGCGATTGTTTTTTTTCCTGAGACCAATCAAACAGCTATATTCGTGCCTTCAATTTTGCTATGATATATTCCAGGGGTATAGTGAGCGTAACCCCTGGATATCGAGGATGCGGTCATGTATGCGAAAATAAATGAAAGAACTTCGAGGTACATCAACCTTGCTTTCACCGAGTTCGGTGATTTTTTTATGTAGAAACGATTGCTTGTCAATTGTTGTGAGGGTACTTTTCCCTGCTTTTGAAAGACAGCTTAAATTGACCATTTCATTGTTCATATAAGGATTGATCTTCATTTTGACGGCCTATACAGTATTTTGAATGTAGGTTGAAACGACATATATTCTATGTGGCATACGTGAGGGAAAACGTGTTGCTCACCGAGTATTTCTAAATTTACTCATACCGGTGTTGATTCACTGGAACTATATTATCCTTGAAACCACAACTACCATTTTTGCGACCCACTATTACTGGTTTTCTTTCTTACAGCACTGAAACAATGCAATTGTCAGGTGTAGATATAAGGATTGATCTTCATTTTGACGACGTATACGGTTGTATGAACGCAGGTGGGAATTATGACAATCGCATGTTTAAACAAAAGCATGCACACAATACCCAAACAAAGCCGGCTTTAAAAAAAGCAAAATGACAAATTTTAAGTTTTATTACATTAATATTCACGACATTGTTACAATACTTCCCACAATTTACATGAATTAATTTGTTTATTTAGGTACGAATACATAGCCCCATCGAAAAGCAAAGACAAACTCATAAAAGGCATTAAAGAAACCCAACATAAAAATGAAATTAAAAATTCAACTTCAGGGACAAAGGAAACTACATGTAAATTTGAATTCAATTTCACGATCTATTGTCATTTTCAAGGAATTGTTTTTATGGACTGTTTTTGAGTTAGTGTAAACTTTATCTTCTGAACCGAAACAAGTGCTTGTTATTGAAACAATGTAATTTAGTTTGTTTTGTCGAAATTTCAACAATCTTCTTCTGTTTATATGTAATAAAATAACACTTTAGGTTATATTTTTTTAATTGTCAGTGAGAATTGGAACTTGGATATATAACTAATGTGTTAGAAGTTTGACGGTACGAAAATTAAAGTTCAAACAAAAAGGGGTTAAACAGGTAAAACAATTATAACTCTTTCTCAAGGGTCCGAAGGTTCAGACATGTTGGTACTCTGTTATAATCAACATTTCATACCTGGTATACTGAGGATTAATGACGACTTTATAGACTTAATCTATTTTCTGACAGATACATACACAATATTTGTTGGTCACTCTCCAACATCGTTTTGTCGGGGAATCCACAGTTAAAACCCCGTATTTGGTTTACAGGTACTATATTACTTTGTCACATCACAAGAACAAATACATGTATTACAGCTCAGGTGACAGTTCAGGTCCGCG